TTGTGTTTGTCGTAATAGATGCTAGATAAAAGCTTCTTTTATCGATCTGTGTGCTGAAACTACCTGGGAATGTTCTTACATTGAGTTCTCCAAGCAGGATCTCACGAACACTACACTAATAATATAATTTTACACACACTAGCGTATACTGTCATGTGCACGGTAAGAATCAAACATCAAGTGAACCCATTGTCAATAAAAGTGACACTACTAATTAATGAGTAAATTATTATGCCAATTAAGTGGTAACTGTTAACTACTGTTAGCAGAAACTCATTGTTGTTAAAATAATTTACTCATTAATGAGTAAAGCCACTTTTATTATAAATGGGTTAACTTGACTGTTATCGGTATCGGGTATTTGACTGTTATCGGGCAAGCGTAGGGTTTGTTTTCGTTTTGTTGTTTATTTTTACTTTAGAATGACAGTTCTTACAGCAAACAAAAAAATTCTCACAGCTAACAAAAAAATTCATCTCACTAACACACGCAAATCGCACAAATACGAACCCGCCTGGAGAGGACTATGGCCATGGGGATACAAAGAGAAAGTCGCCGAAGAGAATCTGTTAATGTTACTTAGGACCCAATGCAATGTTCAGCTTGAATTCTCGTTTTTATCAAAAGGCCATAGGCCGGCGCACAATGGATAAGTTTTCTGGTTTTTTGACAGTTAGCCCATGCATTATCTGTCAAAAAACCCGAAAACTAATGCATTGTGCGCCAGCCTTAACTCTTTCGACTGAAGTGTAATAAAGAATATCCGTCAAACACTTCCGAAAACATTTTTTGATACAAAACAGTGTCAATATCTAGAGAAAATTCATAGTCCCCTGGATAGCAAACTTGAATTCATCGACTCTTCATCAGAACAACACTATCAGAATGAACCAGCGGAAGCTCATAAGTTTTGACAGGCGCCACGGCGCAACCATCGGTAATTGAGAGATTTACAACTGACAAGAGAGTTAGAGCGACCTTTGCGCTCTATTTCTCCATAACTCTCTTTGCCTGCAAGCAGATATCCAAGTGCACAGCGAGAAATGCACGCTTTAGGCACCCAATGTTCTTCTAATTTAAACTCACACATTCAAACCGGTCTGCAAGTATGATAACATCCAAAGCGTATACGTATACCAGACTGCTGTTTCCGTGTTGCTCCCGTTTGACGCGTGACTGCTGAAAGTTTCAATTACAACTAGGGTAAACGCTCCTATAGTAGCGGTACGTTAGAAGCGTTAGGTTCCTATAATTGTGTATGGAGACTCAATACACAACTATAGGAACCTAACGCTTCTAACGTACCGCAACTACATACATACATACATTTATTTGTACAACATCACATTTAAGATAAGACATAATCAACAATAGTACGCCACAATACTCGGTTTGCGGCTTCCGCTCTCCATCCTCGGTCATGCCCAATGCTCGCTAGATCACGCTCTACCTGGTCCGCCCATCGTGCTCTCTGCGCTCCACGCCTTCTTGTGCCAACCGGATCAGTAGCGAACACCAACTTTGCAGGGATGTTGTCCGGCATTCTTGCAACATGCCCTGCCCACCGCATCCTTCCGGCTTTGGCCACCTTCTGGATGCTGGGTTCGCCGTAGAGTGCAGCGAGCTCGTGGTTCATTCTTCGCCGCCATTCACCGTTCTCCTGCACACCAGGTCCTCCTCGAGCATAGTCCATGTCTCGTGTCCATAGAGGACCACCGGTCTTATTAGCGTTCTGTACATGGTACATTTGGTGCAGGGGTGAATCTTTTTTGACCGTAGTTTCTTCTGGAGCCCGTAGTAGGCACGACTTCCACTGATGATGCGCCTTCGTATTTCACGATTCACATTGTTGTCAGCCGTCATTAAGGATCCAAGGTAAACGAATTCCTCCACTACCTCGAAAGTATCCCCGTCTATCGTGACATTACTTCCTAGACGAATCCTGTCATGTTCGGTTCCGCCTACTAGCATGTACTTTGTTTTTGACGCACTCACCACCAGTCCGATCTTTGCTGCTTCGTGTTTCAGGCGGGTATATAGTTCTGCCACCGTTCCAAATGTTCTTGCGATAATGTCCATGTCGTCCGCAAAGCACACAAATTGACCGGATTTCGTGAAAATCGTACCTCGGCTGTTGAGCCCGGCTCGTCGCATTACACCTTCTAGAGCGATGTTGAAGAGTAGGCATGAGAGTCCGTCACCTTGTCGCAGTCCCCGGCGAGATTCGAGTGAACTGGATAGTTCACCCAAAACACTTACGCAGTTTTGCACACCGTCCATCGTTGCTTTGATCAGTCTGATCAGCTTCCCAGGAAAGCCGTTCTCGTCCATGATTTTCCATAGCTCTGTGCGGTCGATACTGTCGTATGCCGCCTTAAAATCGATGAACAAATGATGCGCTGGTATTCACGGCATTTCTGGAGGATTTGCCGTACGGTGAAGATCTGGTCCGTTGTCGATCGGCCGTCAATGATAACTTCCCACGAACTCGGTCATTTTAGGTGATAGACGACGGAAGATGATCTGGGATAGCACTTTGTAGGCGGCATTCAAAATGGTGATCGCTCTGAAGTTCTCACATTCCAAATGGTCGCCGTACCGCAACTATAGAAGCGTTTACCCTAGTAGTGCAAATCGCCATGTATTGTGGACAATTTGTGGTATGTTTCAAGAGGTGATAGACGGTCTGTTTGGCTTAAATCAGGCATTGACCTATCACAAACTTGACACCCGCCATCCAAAAAAAGCTCGCTTTTAGGTGCACTATTTAACCAGTTTTGTCATGGTAGTGATATCGACATGCTTAGAAATCAATGCATTAGGGATTAGGCAGACCATCCGAACTGAATTTAATCCTTTTTGAAGCAAATCAAGGTCGAAGATATAAATGAGCCATACTATAAAATAATGTATTCATGGTAACTTGTGGTCTGGCGTAAAGAAGTACAACTATAATGTGACCATAAAATCTATAAAATTAAAAACGCATTTTTTTAAATTATTTACACCTGTGTTGTGCACAGGTTGCACTTGTAGACGCGACGGCACTGCGACGAAGAGAATCGATCAATATTACTTAGAACCTAATGCAATGTTCAGCTTGAATTAGTTAAGTTTTGCAATTCCTCCTACTTCGGTTAGCGCGAAAAGGGCCATACAAGTTTTGTTTATGCAAGATGATAGGCCCTTCAAATGTTACGTTAGGTAGTGAATAATATAGTAATGGAGAATATGTTCCTCGAATTCATGGAGCATTGAAAAATAAAACGAAAACTAATATGTGGTGGAAAACTATAACGAACAAGGCTTGGTGCACAGGTAAACAAATGAGGGACGCGACGCCTCTAGTCAAGCTTGCAAGTGGCACAGTTAAACCAACAATCAATACGAAACTAACGATTTTAAATTGGCTCACTACTTGACTAGCCTATTGGTCCCAAGCAAACGAGTAACATACCCCATTCTAATCGAAATTCTACTACTACACAATGTTTGTTTTGATTCGCTATGAAAGTTTGACAGATAAAATGAGGGGTTAGTGGATTTTCCTATGTTTCGAGGGGTGAATCGATTAGCTTGGGACCGAAGAGAGTACCAGAGCTGAGCCAAAAAGTTGAGCACGTTATTTCGGGACCTTCTAGACCTTAGAGTTATCTCTATGGTCAAACTTATTCTAATGTCATCAATATAGGACTGGAATTGGATTTCTCAACTGAACCATTCAAACGGCCATTCTTAATGTTACTCAATAATGTATTTATACGATTATTAGAATATATCGTCGTTCCTTTACTCTGTCCAGTGTAAGGGCTCTGCAAGTATCATTGTGTAAGTATGATTCATTTCGAGGACCCCCTCTAGAGGAGCAGTGTGCATTTTAGTAGGTAGTTGTATGAATATTAGTTCCATTCAAAAATTACTCTCATTTACCTCCTACATGCTCTTGTTTCAGTTTAGCGCCTTTAAAATCTTTACACATTTAATGAATTTGTATCCCGGACAGTTAATAGGGGGCATTTCCTCACAAGGAGAAAAGATGATGCTATTCTATTCACAAAACAACACAACACACGCCCCTTCTTCTTCTGATGATGCAAAACGAGTTTTTACTGAGTGCTACCGCTGCCTTCGATTCCATCACCGACACGATGTGGCGAAGATAAAAGCCGAGGAGGAAGCTGAGGTTCTCAAATCCGCATGTTGCAGGGGTTCGATTTCCAATTTAGCTTAAGACTTTGGATGGAGGAACAGTTTCTGAAACAGCACTGAAAACAACACGATCGTATTCCCGGTGTTGTTTCAGAAAATGTTCCCGTATGATGATTTGGGACCAATTAGATGAAAATTCTTACTGTTTTTGTGCTGAATTATTCACTTGTTACTGGTTTACTTTAGTGATACAAATGGAAGAAATATGAATACAGTATTATTTCAAGTAAGTAATATACTTTATTGATTGAAACGATTGCTAGTGCCCTCTACTTTCTGATTTAGCTGATATATTATGCAATGTTTACATGAGATTTCAAAACCAAACACAATAAGACTAACGCATATAAATATATTTTTGGGACACAACCTATTGCTTATAAAAAAATATATATATATGACCTTTAAGGTGCAATTCTGTTGTTGCCTGTGATCAGTTTCAAAATACGTAAACTGCCGTATTATTTTACTGAAATAGCGATTCCTCAAGATGGAGTACCAAATTTGCAAATTGATTGTTTTGTTCTGTAAAAATTCAGGAAAATACTTCCCCAGCTTTGATTGATGTACGATTTAAGTGTTGTTGAAAACTGATCTTATAGGAGGTAGGCAATATAAAAAAACAAACAAATATGCTTAAGTTAAGTTTCTTCCTTCAAACGGCAATAAATTCAGCACAAGATTCATTTCACAGAAAGAACTACTTCTATTACTTCCTTACTTCGAATGAACGAACCAGTTAAAAGATACTAACTTTTTTTTTCGTTATTTGCTTTGCAATGCACAACTACATTTAAAAGATTTTACCACTACATATGCTTTGTATTACTAATCCTTTGTTTTTCGTTAAAATTACACATGATTATTTGTTGTGTTCTCTCATCATGACACAGTGCTAAGTGGAGTGAAGCGAATGCTCTAGGACGTAAGATACAAACTCAATTGGAGCAATTAAATGATTTAACTTGATTCGGGAGCATTTGTTTGGGTTTTTTTCGTCACTAAATTTGATTAAACAATATCGAGCGGAAAATCTTCACAACTTCACTCCTTTATTATAGGTAGACAAAATATCTATTTTCAACATTACAGCTATGCTTTACTAAACAAGTTATGGTTTTAATGAGAATGTTAAAATGTTTACGCTTTTTAATAGATTTACTGGCTCTCGTTAAATAACAATTTGATCTCGATCCGTTCCTTCTTTGATTGACAATAATTAAAAATCGACCAAAAATGTCGAACTGCTCAGTTAGCTAAGTTTAAAATCTTTGAAAACGGATCCTGATTGTAGACAAAAACACAAAACGAATTACAAAGGAAAAATCTGCGCTTTCATAATGTTACGTCCTTTTATAATGTAAGAGAATAGGCTGCTCCATTCTTCATACTCCCGTCAAGTAAATTTTAATTCTATATATTGAACGTGCTTCCTCCGCCCGTGACATGCTGCAGTTCTGCAGTTTTTGCGTTTCATTTCGAGAGCTTGCGCGCAATGATAGGCATTCTAATTTAGGCAGAGGAAGCCGAAGATTTTGCAGCACCGGCAGCAGTAGCGGTAGTATCGGTAGTAGTAGTAGTAGCAGTAGTAGTAGTAGTAGTAGAAGAAGTATCGGTAGCGGCAGGGGTATCAGTAGAAACTGCATCATTAGATTTTTGATTTTCGGTTTTGACATTTTTGCTTGCCACTGATTCGGTTAGGATTTTATCAACGTCCTGCAAGAATAGGTAAAACCAAGTTTTGGCAACACTGTAGTTTATGGTTTGGAGCCGTTGACTAATTGTTAATTGAGGGGGTTAGAACGAAAGGGATGTAAGTTACTTTGATCGATTATCTTCATCGACTTTCTCTTTTGATAGCCACAGGTTTATAAACAGATTTAGCGCTATTTCTGCCACACAGTTTGATAAAGGAGGTTCTCCTCTAGCATCCAGAATGGCACACGAATCAAGGAATGTGTTTGCAGCTGAATTATTAACGAAAGAGAAAGTCGATGAAGAGAATCGATCAAAGTCACTTACACCCCTTTCCTTCTAACCCCCTCAATTAAGGTATTTAGATAAAGTGGACCACTACGTATTTGCAGAGCAGATCGGCATTTACCGGCAAGTGGAAAAGATAAACAGATTGATCGAAATTAGATTGCTAGGTCTATTCTATGTGTTGTCGAGAGTCGAGACTGAACGAAAAGGGCGACCAAAGTACGAACAAATATTGTGAATAATCGAATATTACAAGAGCGAGTGTAACGAGACATAAATCTGATAGAAAATAAGAGCAATACATTTGAGATGGAAAACAATAAGGCTGAAACTATGAAATTGAGAATTTCCTCCCGAAGCTTGTGTGATTGTACTCAGCGCGATCAAATTCAAGGCGGATTTCTGAGGCACTACTGAAGAGATGAACTAGCCTTCGGCTAAAAATCTCTATAATAAAGAATTTAAAAAAAATGTGATACTACTGTTCAGCTCAAGACACCGTCACTCAATTTGTAGTATTTTTGTTTTTGAAATATTCGTCAATCATCATCGTTAGTATACATATTCAATCACACACCAGTCATCCAAAAATTAAGGGGAAAGGGAACGTAATTAATTCTGTCAATAACACACTGAACACATTTTCACGAACGCAATTTTGGTTTTGAACGAAATAACTGCTTTGGATTTTTGAAAATTTATGACGTTCCCTTTCACCAGCAAGTATTTCCTGACTTTACAACAAAAGTTGTCTGGGTAAAATATTTTCACTGCATTTACTTACTAGTGTTTTTTGTAGCATTTCACAATTTCCCGCAATCGGATACACGAAAACCGCTTCGACTCCACTAATTTGCTAGCGAAAGAAAAAGTATCATTGAGCAAGTGTTGCCAAATGTATTGCGACTTTTTTTTTATAAAAACCGAAGGGTTTTTCCTGTGGTAATTACCGGTCAGTGCCAGTCAGATTACCGAAAATTACACTGATTACTTTTTAATTAATTGAAATTACGTTATTACTTTTATTATTCTAGATTACCGAAATTACTACGATTACTAGAATAATTTTAGGAACTATAGGGTGTCCCAGAATGTCTAAGCACGACTTTGGAAAACACCTGCTTGTTTCAGATGACGTTTAAACAGCTGATTATCATGCTGAATCATTGATAAAATTTCGACCAACAGTTTCGTGTATCGCAAGTGTAGGTTCTTTACATTTCCGTGACAATGCAAAGCATTTCTCCGGAAAAGCGCAAACAGATCGTGCACAAATGGTGTACTATCCACAACATTTCTCTGAGTCAATTAGTGAAATTGGAAGGTGTAAGCATCGGATCCGTCCGAAACGCGATTCGGAAGTATGGTTTTATTTATTTAGATGGATGTCCACATCAACAGACCATTTTGGTCCTAATGATGGTTTACTTAAGACTAAAATTCATAAGTTAAGTGGTAATAGAAACACATAAAACAAACTAAACACTCACTGGACACTAGACTAGCCCACATTTATATGCAGGAAATTTTTTATCATTTTTTTCAAGGGCCAAAGGGAAGATCTTATAGTTTTCCTCAATTGTTCGTCGCTTCAGAAAGGACCTCAGTAAATCGGCGGTGTAGCGTAAGGTGAGGGATATCGTAGTCAGTGATGGAAATCAAGCGAGCATGATTCGATTTCCAGTTTGTCGTAAACTGTACAGATCGTGATCTGTACAAACTACGACCAACGATTAGTCCTCTTCCACCTTGAAAATACGTTATTGCATAGTTAACTCCCAGATAACAAATACATTGTTAGACTGAGTCAAACTGAGAGAAGTGAGTTACCCTTTTCGCTCATTATATCCACAAATCGCAACATCTGCTTATTTCACGAGACGAGAGTGAGTGTCTCTCTGTGAGTAGCATTCTTTGGCAGTTAGGGGTTGCAGAGCAATAGCGAATTTGTTTATTCCCAGGTTGGTACCAGTTCCAACCCAGTGCAAACCCGAACTTTTTGTCAGCACGAAAGTCGACCCGTGCCAGGTTATAAAAACATACGATCAAACTGACGTTTGCCGACCCTAACTTGATACCCAATCCAGGTTGGAACGGTATAATAAACAAATTCGCTATAAGCAAGCATCAGCAGATAGGGGCTGACCATCGGTAGGGGAGAACAGTCCATAATGCACCCCCGGGGTAAATTGGCGCCGTGCGGGTTTTCGTTGCTTTCCCATTACTAATTCTGGAAATATCATGTGCCCGAATGTTAGTTCAAGCACTGAACTAGCAATGCTGATTGTTAAATTCACGAATTGACAATAGGAAAGCTATGACAAACAGCGAAGGCCATTTTACCCCAGGGGTGCGTTTTGAACCATCCTACCCTAAATTTTAACACGAAGGCTGAAACGGGGCGATGTACGGTTTCTATAGGTGAGGAGGATGCAAACAAGTCGACTCTTCCGTTCTCTCGGTTTCGAATGCAGCAACAGACGTGACGTAACGTCTGTTGCTGTATTAGAACGCGATGAGAATGAAAGAGTCGACTCGTTTCCTTGCACCTCACCTGTAAATAGTGCACATTTGGCTCGGTAGTTCATCGGATAGTTCTGTCAACACGGAGAACTGTTCCTTTCTTTTTCACTTCACCGAAAGGACCATTGTCGTCAACGCAAATACGTCTTTCCTAATTCACAGACAGAAAAAAAGCAAAAAAAATCACGATCATTATGGCAATGATCATGATCTGATCACGGTTGTTCATCAGTTGTACATAATCCGAACAACTTCTTGTACTCAGCTGTACGCATTGAGATCTTTAGTTTGTAGCGTGCACTCACAACAATCCTTGCGTAATATAAGTAATGTATCGTGAGTGCACACAGCAATGATGTTGTTATCGTCTTGCTCTCTTGAGATCTTGGTAACTCACTGTCACTGGCGTAGCTAATGGGGGTGCCAGGGGGGCCAGTAGACTGATGCAAAATTTGACTTTTTCGCTCCACAGTGCTTAAATGGTTTCAAATCGGGTCCTGATTAGCCTCTCAAAGTTACAACTTATTTGGTTAGAAACAGACTTGGCACAAGCCATTTGAAGTTTACATGTAAATTTCTATGGTAAATCTTAACATTTTGTTCATTGCCTTCTAGTCTTTTTCCATATTGAGCTGCGAAACAGTTCGATAGCCATTCTTATAGAAAATTTTCTCAGCTACAACTTTGCTGAATATTGTTTCTAGGTAAACGAGACAGGAAAAAATTATTAATTATTTAAGAGAGTGGTAAACTTATGACATGATCAAGCAGCTGCTCTGTAGGCAACACTGTATTTTGCAGTGTGACATAGTAGCCATGATTTGTGTGTCCTATTCAACGCCCCAGAAACACCAATGTTGCCTGCTGAGCAGTTGATTGAGCATGATCATAAGACATCAGCGCATTGAACCATTGATAACTTTCGATGCATGCATTTTATCAAAAAGTGGTCTTCAGCAAAGTTGTAGCTGGAAAAATTTCCTATAAGTACAATTGAAAACTTTTGAAGCAGACCGATATGGTGAATTATAAGATAGACATGAACAAGAATCTTGGTTTTACCATAGTAATTCCCATACAAACTTCAAATGGTTTGTGCCATCTCAGTTTCTCACCAAATGGGCTCAAATTTTGAGAGATTAATCAGGATCCGATTTGGAATCGTTTAAATATTGTGGAGCGAAAATTTCAAATTTTGCATCACTCTAGGGGCCAGGCACGCTCCAGAATTGTCTAGGACCCCTTCAGAATTATCTAGCCCCCTCCAGAATTATCTAGGCCCCCTCCAGAAACATTGTCTAGCTACACCAATTCTCACTGTTCGAAATGCTCTCTGCATATTAGTGTTAAGAGTCAGAGTTCATCGTTAGCTTATGATGATGCCAAAAAATCTTGTAGCAGGGGTGTGCGTATTCATTGATCGCTAGAAGCGATTTTTTGACATCACTGATCGTAGTCGAATACCGAGGCGACTCTATTGAAGGTCCTTTGAATGCCATCAATAGCGGTATGCATCCCATAATTTGTCGGGCGTAGAGGTAAGCGCAGCATATGATTGTTCCGTAGGGCTCTGGGCTGGACATTTATGGCGATATCCTGCAGAACGGCGGGGCAATCGATTCTGTTCTGAAGAATGTGTGCTACGAACAAGGCTCTGGATACGTTTCGTCTAGACCGCAGGGACTCCAGATTGACAAGCTGGCAGCGGCTCTCGGAACTGGGCAGATGATAAGGATCACGCCAAGGTAGCCTACGCAAGGCAAATCTTACGAAGCTTCGTTGTACAGATTCAATCCTTTCCGAGCCATTGAGGTATACTGGATTCCACACTGCAGAACTGAACTCTAAAATTGGGCGCACTAAAGAGTAGTACAGCGATTTTAAACAGTATTCGTCGGTGAAGTTCTTAGCTATGCGTATGCCCATTGCTCTTGATGCTTTATCAACGATGTACGATACGTGTTGCTTGAAGGTAAGTTGGGTATCCAGTATAGCTCCAAGATCCTTAGCATGACTGACGCATTCGATTTCCGCTTCCGAGAGGGTATATTTGTAATTAATTGGTTGCTTGTTCCGTGAGAATGAAATCACTGAGCATTTACTTGGGTTTACGACCATTCGATTCAGTTTGCACCATCCGGTAAAGCAGTTTAGTTGATTTTGCAAGAAAAGAGCATCGGCAATTGAGCTGATCCGATAAAAAATCTTTAGATCATCGGCAAATGATAGGCGAGGCCCTTTCAGCACTAGGTTCACGTCGTTGAAGTACAACAAAAATAACAGCGGGCCGAGGTGACTACCTTGTGGAATTCCTGACGTAGCCTAGAAAACGTCCGATTGGCAGTCGCCGATAGTGACATTCATCCAACGGTCGTTTAGGTAGGAGTTGAACCATCCCAGAAGTGAGCCATTAACTCCTAGTCTCTGTAGCTTTGCAATAGTGATCCCATGGTTAATCTTGTAGAATGCTGCCGATAGATCAGTATAAATAATGTCTGTTTGAGTCCGTTCTGCCATGCTCGTAGTGATGTGCGACGTAAGACACAGCAAGTTCGTAGTAGTTGAACGGCCGGGTACGAAACCATGTTGGTCATGGCTCAAATACTGTTTACAATGAGCAAATAAAGGCTCCATTACGACCAACTCAAACAATTTCGAAACAGCACACAGAGAAGTGATGCCACGGTAGTTATCGATAGCCTACTGCCTTTTTTGTACACGAGGAACATATGCCCATATTTCCAACACGATGGAAAGATCCCACTAGATAGCGACAGCTGGAACAAATGACGAAGTGGTGACAACAAGCATTCGATATGGTTCTTCAGGATAATTGACGGTACTGAAGCAACTTTTCAGGACAAGCAAAAAGCGAACCCTGTTGACCAAAATCTGGACCGGAAAATCGTGCAAGCTTTCACTCGCAAGAAAAGTGCTTCGGTTCGAGACGTGGCCGAAAAAGTGGGATCCTCGAAGAGTAACGTCCAGCGGGCCAAGGCAAGAATGGGTCTTGGAGTTATACGACCAAGGGTTGATGCATATATTATGTCACGCTCTAAGGGGGGAGGGGGGGGGGGGGTCTAAGATTTTGTGACAAGCAATACATTAGGTATACGAAAAACGTCACGATATGGGGGGGGAGGACATGGGCCCCAATTGCTGTGCGGAAAATCGGTGTGCGATATTATGGACGATGAATCATACGTTAAATTTGATTGCAAAACTCTTCCTGGTGATCAGTACTACACCGTTCGTGATGGCCGAAGCAAAGAATAATACTAAGATGAAACAGTCGGAAGAAAAACATTCTATTTTAGAGTCCTCGTTCACGGTCCCTTTCATCCACTAAATGTGGTTTTGCTGCCCCTCGGTAGAGATGAAATTTTGCGCTATTTTTTATCCAAACAATCACACCAAAATTAGAGATGTCCCATTTTTTAAATTGTTCGATTAACATCTAATCGATTATTTTTTGTTCGCTGTGCTGTCATTTTTCCACCAATGAGAGTGCAGCATATGTTTGAAACGATGGGTGATGATCTTCTTGAGAAGTTAATGCTTATATCAGCATGATATAACCGATTACCAATATTTTACTTTTCGTTTCGTTAATCGATTAATCGATTATTCAAATGAAAATCGGCCATCACTAGTTGAATGTGAAACGTCATTTCAAATTTAAGGCCGTACATAAATAATGATACAATTTGAAAGGGACCGCGGCTAATCACAAATTACGTCCCCATGGTAACTGAAATAAACACGAGTGCGGACCGGTTGGCCGAAGTGTTGACGACGCGGATAAGTCGATTCTTACCGAAAAATTAGGTAAAAAGGCTATGGTTTGGTGTGGTATGCTTTCCAAACCGTTTGTGCAACAAGATCCAATTCGTACCCAAGTAGCTGAATCCGTCAAACTGTCCCCAGGCCAGGCCAATCGAAACTTTTTGGACCCTGGCCAAAGCATATTTGCGGAAACATGTAAAGGCAACGGATTCCGTAAGTATCCAAAATTGTTGGAAAGACATCTGTGCTGAAGCTAATGAATAGCGTGAGATCAAAAATCCGCTCTTTGGCTTACGACTGATCGGATCTCGGATTTTCTACGTTTAACTGTAAGAGAATACTATAGAGAACATGAATACGAAATAAAAATCGAATTAGCTGTAAACAGAGTTACGTTATCGTTTTTTTTTTAATCGTGCTTAGACATTCTGGGACACCCTAGATGCTAGAAGTGTATGTGTTCGGGTTCATACAGGTTCTTGAAAATTGTATGAATCGGGTAAGGATCGGATTCGGGCATTTAAAATTACATACCCGACCATCTTAATACACACACCGACTCACACGCACAGACATTTTCTGATCTCGTCGAGTTGAGTCGAATGGTACGCTATCGATCGTAAGTTTGGGGTCATCCTTTAAAAAACATTAAAATGCTTTTTGCTCATTGCTTTGCCTTTTTACGACCGATTTTCGACATCTATAGATCATTTCAAAGGTATTGTCCCAAATTTAGTTCATAGGTAAAATGTCTGATAAATTCTACAAGTCTTGTATGCTAAAACCTCTCTTAAAGTTACAACATTTTCCAAAACTCACACTAAATATTCATGACTGAAATCGCAGATTTGAACCGCCCAAATTTTGAAATGAAAGTGGAAGTAGAACCCTCTGCTATACCCATCGAGATTCGTTTGTGAAAATTTGGTTGGAAAATTTAGAATATGCTTATAATCAGATTATAATCAAGTCATCGATCAAAAATTTGGGGTCACCCACAGAATGGCTTGTCGATGTTGTAAGTTTACTTGAAGCTTTATAGTTGAAGATGCTAATTTCAAATAACAGATTGAAGTGATAATTTTTGGAATTAAACTAAATTTTGAATTGAAAGTATAGAGCTGATAGTTCCGTTAGAGTACGGCAGTGTGAAAATTGTATATATAGAGTAGAAAGCGAGCAGGGACAAATTTTAGGAAGGTACTAATCGGTTTGATCATCTCTGTATTATACCAAACTCCCCCGTTGGAGAGGGATGGTCAGGGGGGTATCCATCCAAAAACATTCCCAGGTTTTATTTTGAGGGTGACGCCAAACTTCTGAGCGATTAAGCCATGCTGTGACTGACCTTGATTGGTATGTTTGTTCATATCTCTGCCAATTTTAGTTCTCTTTGCACTGATAAATTGAACTATTCCCATTTTGCTTGAAATTTAATCAATTTGACATTAAACTCAGTTTAAGCATATCGAATGATTAAAAATTAATCCTCTCTTTCTAAAAAATGAGTATCTGATATTAATCCCAGTTTAATCATGGTTGACTTGATTGTAGATTATCTTTTTTTGAATAAAGTTTAATCATTTTTGATTTTATTTTAGTAATTTTTGATTGAATTTTAATCTTTTTTGATTATATATCAGTACTGAAAAAGAATAAAATTTAATACTGGAAAGATTATTTTGATTTTAATCATGCACGACTACTGCCGAAGTAATCATGGCTCGAACTCAATAAGGTGAAGCGGGAATCTGCATACTTTTTAAGCTTTTTTGATTTAATTTATCTTTGAGTGTGCAGTTAGTTGAAAGAATGTAACTTACTACGTTGGTATGTGGTTCATCATATTTGTCCATTTATGTATGCTAAAACTTCACTTAGACTAAAGAGGCTGAATTTATAAAGAGACGACATCTTATCCATTTGACAGGTCTTCTGCTCGATTGGAATGACTTTTCCAAAGTTTTTAAAGGATAACCGCATACTTATGACCGGGAGTTTATATGACAATCGGGCCTCCGCAGTATGTATACCCTTCTTTGTAGGAAAGGCACAAAATACGTCCTTTCAGATAAGGTATTTGTACATTTCAGTGCCAACATTTCAAAGGGGCGTAATTGCATTTGTAAACAATGGCTTTAACCGTCGATTTCTCGCGAATAAAAGCTCACTCATAAAAATTAACGACACCTTCAGGTAGCTGAATGTTTCCTCTAATTGCTTGTATTGTTAATCTGGAGGGGCGAGCTTTTATTTCAAGACCAACAATTGAAATGGCCTTAACTCCATTTTGTAAACAAACTTTGTAAGGCCATTTTTTCGCGAACCGAAGTTCGCAAACGAAAACCAACATAATGAACAGGTAGGGGAAATTCTCCTCTACCCAATTGTGGTTTAGGTTTGCGAATGAAGGTTTCGGTTCGCGAGAAAATGGCATTACAAGGTTTGTTTACAAAATGGAGTTAAGGCCATTTCAATTGTTGGTCTTGATTTGCGATAAATCGAAGCCCTTGTTTACAAAAGCAATTACGCCCCTTTGAAATGTTGGCACTGATTTGTGTAGTAATTTTAGAACCATTTGAGAATCGTAAACATGTTTTGTGATACTCTGTATTATATTCGAAATTTAAACATTCCTTTGAATACCAGGCTATTTGAGTGGACTGCCGGTTGAATTATTGATTTCGTTTAATGCAACTACCAAATATATACGAATTCGATGTCAGATAAGATTCTTATAGCTTTTCAGAACGTCGACTTAGGTAGAACTTCCCCTAAAAATGAAAAAAAAAATGTTATTCCCGTTAAATTTTCATTGCTTCTTGAAGGAATTCCTCTCCTCTAAAATGACGCTCTGGAAATTGAAATCACACAAGCTTCGTGAGCTGAAAATTCCGCTCCAAAAGGAAATATGGCACTCTAAAAAGTTAGAACCCCGTACTACAATCACGTTACCTGTTCCGGATGCTTTCCGATGAACTCCAGCCTCGCCGCGTCGTACATCTTGACAAACTTATCTCGCTGTTCTTTGAACTGGGCAAACAGCGCGTCGTCCTTGTTGCCCTTCAGCCGTTCGGCCAGCTCGCACTTCTTGTCATGCTCTGCCTTGATTTCCTCCGTTACCCACGGTTTGTCCAGTGGATATTCCTCCTTCGGCTTGGCAGGTACTTTGGGTTTGATCTTATTACCAATCGGCGGTTTCAATACCTTCCCGTTTGGAAGGCCCCCCCGAGGTGCACCCTTGAGACCCTTTCCGACTCTACCACCCGAAGGAAGCTTTCCGTTCGCAATGCGGCGCATCGGAAGACCATCCGGGCGACCTCGCAACGGTGGAGGCATCATACGTCCCATGGGGTTCATCATCGGGCCTCGCATAGGCGGCATTGGTCTTGGCATAAGCCCCATTGGACCCGGACCCATCGGTAGACCACCGAAACGACCATTTGGAGGTGGTGGAGGCATCATTGGTCCACCACGCATACCACGCATTCCCATCGGAGGTACGCGGAAATGCGGTGGCGGTGGAAGAGGTGGACCGTTTCTGCGACCACCACCCATGGGAAACATAGGGGGCATAGGAGGCATCGGTGGACCCCAATGACCACCCATACCCGGAGGCATACGCCGCATGCTTCCTCCGTTTTTCATATTTAGGCGCTTCTGGTTGGGATTTCCCTTCCGGATAGTGTTTTTATGTCCACCCGCCGGCCCTGTGCCGTTATTGATAGTTGCCACCGAGTTTGTCGCAGCATTTGCGCTAGTCGTTGATGCCGATGGAATTTGGACGTCGTCATTGAAATCTACGAATCCGGGATTGTCACCAAGTTGGTTTGCGTTGAACATAGCTCCCATGTTCCGGGCACTCATCGGCCTTGGTCCGCCCGGTTTGAAACGCTGCCGACCGGGCATCCCGTTGAATCCACCTCGACGCTTGTTTGGTACCATTTTGGTGGCGACCATTTTGTGCACTAGAGATTCACTGTTATTTCCGCCGGTAAATGGTTTAAATTCGAAACTACACCGAACTTCGCTAAGTCTTAACTAGTTTTCACTAAATTTCTTAAGTTTAATGGTATTTTAGCAAGGAAAATACAGTAAATTAATGCCAAAACCGAACGTGAAGCCGAGTGCGTGATGATTTTTTCACTTTTTCTGCGAATCTCTGCTCACTTGATGGATCGATGTACTAAAAAAGTGACGTTTCTAGAAGAAAAGAAAAATACGGGTATCGAATTGGTGCCACACAGCGTTGCCAGAATGTTTTAAAGCTTATCGGTATCAGAAGTTTTAAAAAATCGGTATTTATCGGTGTTTACTATTTTAATTAATTTTATATTTTTGCCGTTTTTGAAAGGAAAAATTTTAACTTTTGGATTATGATCGGAAAATTTTAAAAGAAAACTCAGGGAATTTTTGAATTAGCTTCTGGAGGAAGCTGAAAACAACATTCAGAGAATGTAGAAAGAAGCTCTCCTGGAGGAAATTTGAGGAAAGTTCTGAGAGAAGTCGGAAAAACATCCGCGGAACTTCCAAGACATAAATTGAGAAGCTTCCGGAAAAAAAAAAATCGGATTTCACATTCAAAGGAAGGCAGAAAAGTATCGGAAATTGGAAGTAAATTCCAGAAGTAGCCGTTTCCAGGGGAAACCAGAAGAAGCTCGGAAAAACCTTGCAATAGAAGTAAAAAAAAACCAACTAAACAAAATTCCAGAACTAGGCGAAAGAAATTGCTGGGAGAAGTTTAAAGAAATTTCTGGAAAAAGTCGGAAGCCAGAGCGCTTACGGAACAGTCGAAAGAAACAAGGAGATAATTCCGGAAGACAGAGCTCCTGCGGGATGTTCTGATGATCCAGAAATTTTTCCAAATGGTCATATACATCCCTGAAGACCCCGCAATGCCCCTGAAGTTTTTGGAACATTCCTGAAATGTACTTAGGGATTTTAGGCTGTTTTGGAGTACTCTTATCATTATTGAAATACTTGGAACTTCCCTAATTATAATGGAACGACCGGAATATCTCTAATCAATTTTGAAGGTCTTTAGACTTTCTAAATTACCAAATTTCTTAAGCGCACAATTTTCTTGATTTTTTTTTAAATTATAGTCACTTTAACGCTCTTGGGTCATTCGTGACTTGTCCGGGAGTGAGATTTAAACTCGTGACTTTGGCGTGAGAGGTATGGATACTAACCTCTACGCCGGGGTTGCCCCTAATTTTCTTGAATTTATTGTAACATCAGCATTGAAGTTCTCTGATCTTTCCGATTTGTCTAATTTTGAAAAGTTATCGACACTGTGCTAATGTTTGAAATTGCCTGAGTTTCTCGGAACTCCTTTACAATTTCAGCGATTTCCGTGAAATTTATTGATCTGTCCTGATGTTATCGGAGCTTCCTACAGTTCTCTCAATTCTCCTGAAACTAATGGAACTGTTCTGAAAACCTTAAATTTTCCAGAAGTTCTTTGGACTTGTGAAGTATCCAAAATATTTATGATGTATACTTAAGTTCACTGGAGTTCGCTGGACCGGGTTTTAGAATTTTAACAGAAGTTATTGAAACATTCATTAATTTATCGAAACTTACTCAAAAGCCTGAACTTTTCCGAAGTTTCAGAACTTCTTAAAAGTTCCTGCAGCTAGTGTGGATCCGCAATCAAAATCTGGAAGCATCCCTGAAGATCCAGGAAAGTTGAAAAAACTGGCGGGAGAAGATGGAAGAATCATTCGAGCGAAGGCTGAAGAAGCTTCCAAGGGAAGTCGAAATAAGTTTCCGAGAGGAATCGTAAAATAATTTACGATGTAAGGTGGAAGAAAATTCCAGGGGAAATTTGGAAGAAAATCCAGGAAGTTAAATAATGTTTAAAAAGTATTTCCCGATTCCCCCGGAATTACCAGTAGAGCCATCGACTGTTTATCGATACATGGGTAGCCAAAAACGGTGAGGAAATTGAAACATTAATCGAAAGAGTATTTATATGACATTTTTGAAGATGATTTTTTTTTTTAGAATTTGAGATATTCAAAAAAATACAAGTCTTTCACAATAATTTTCTCCGAAATTCGGGCACGGGCAGGCAATTATCATTTTGATTATTTAAAAAAAATCGGTATATATCGGTATAAAACCTCAAAAATCGGTATTCTGAGGAACCTTATCTGTATATCGGTATCTAGTTCGGAAATCGGTATAAATACCGATAAATCGTTATATCTGGCAACGCTGGTGCCACATTCGGATCGAAAAGTACTGCGAGGGGTAGCCCAATTGAACTAAATATTACAAATATATTAGGTCGTATGAATAAAAGCGTTTACTTTACTTTTCCTGTAAGAAAAGCACGGGAAAGTTACCCTAATAAAAAATAACCATAAACGAACGATAACCTAAATCATTGAACTATTCCACAAATGGTTTGGATGATACCCAGAACACGTCGTTAAGCAAATTAACCATACAATTTTTATTAGGGAAAGTAAGCTCTTTTTATTCATACCGCCCATTAATGCATTTCTAGACAAACATTTCAAAAGGTCTTATCTGTCATTGAAGCTGATTGTAGAAAAATTGATTTGAATTTTTGCAATATATTTTTAAATGCCATTTTTAATTACGACATAAAACGATTATCTTTTGTTTTCTCAAATGCATAGGAAACACATAGAATTCGACTGAAGTGTATGTTTTTTCGATTTATTCATAATTTTCAGGTTTAATTAGTGGTTTTGTTACATAGGACCTTTGGCTTTTTTTCAGTATCAGTTAGGACATGTCAAATTGGTCTGATTGCAAAGATTAATGTTATTTAGGACCTTGGTAAGAACACGGTTTAGAGGTCAGATAATTACAACTACAACATTATTTGTAATTGTTGATGGGCTTAAAACTACTATTCTGCCAATAAACAACAACTACTATTCTGCCAGTAAACAACGTTTTTAATTGATGAATCATACGTTACGGTCGGCCAGCAGATGGAAATGATGTTAAAATGATAATGAAGTTTTGCTAGCTGTCAAATCGTATGGAATATTTTTTAGTACATCATCACTTTTGTGGTTTTGGATTTCAAACCTAGGTGTCGCATGCACTGGTGCAGTTTTGCGTAGATTCATCAATAAGAACTTGTCCATTATTTTTTTTCTGATGTATGCAGAAAAAAATGTAAGTGTATGGAAAATTTGCATTTTTTTAAATAGTTGGTATATTTTTATAAACAAACTGTTTTTTTTTTCATTCTACATGATTCGTTTTACATTTATTAGCTCAAGCCTAGGGGCATCCCACTCTAAACTTTGTATTTCTCGCATTATACTTAGAAAGCTCTTACTGATATCTAAGATACCTGAAAATACTTAAAAATACTTAAGAAATATTTAGCGCTAGTTTGTTACCACCGTTGTTAGAGAGATTTCTTTCGATTATTTACCCGCTGTCATCTGGGATTTCGTGTATGCGTGTTTAGAAAAATCAACTATAATTTTGAAATGTATTCCTTTTTTGTAGGAATCGAGGAAGAGCAATTTTGATTCAAGGAATATTACATTGCCAAACCGATTTATCTGTCATTCAAAGGGAGAATAAGGAACTATTTGGAAAGTTACTATGGAATAAACTGCGTGTGGAACAAAGTGTGGAAGCAAATCCTCTAAGCAAATTTTTCTATCCCAAACCATCTCTCAATAAAAACATATTTTTTGTCCAACAGGATCTTGATCCAACGGACGATAGCTTCAGGCATTTACGTTGATTGTAGCTGAATAAGAAGTTTTGAAAGATTTCCGCACCATCCGCACGTATAACATCCGGAAAGCCACATCTCCTAGATTACAGCCGAATGAGTTTATTGTAGAAGTTAATCACATTTCCTCGGATTTGGAACCTTCAATGCTTAAGACTTATTATTATTAAGGCTGGACATGATCATACAAACATATTCGCTTGGTGTTAATTTCGGAACCGCTCTCTAATCGATTCCATCATTCATCAGAAACGGTTGTTACGTATTAAGACATAAATATGGGGATACTTTGAAGAATATTTTGGCATATGTTTGGGGAATAGTTTGAAATAAATTCATATCATATTATAATTGTTTTACACGAAATGGAAACAAATAAATAGCGGGTTTGAACTAAATCGTTGTATTTGGTACATCAATTATTTGAAATAAATTGATATTTCAGAATAAATTAATTTTTTCCTTGTTATACTTATTGGTTGCGAAGCCTAAAAGTGAGAAATTCATGTTAATTTCACATAAAGCCTTCGGTTACTATCAAGATACTCACTCAGCTTCCTCACCAGTCCGTCGTAACTCATCTTTACAGATGTAAGTTTCTCAAAATGCAGCACGATACGACCAGCAGTGGCAATTACAATCACTTCAATTTCTAGTCAACCAACCCAACAACTTGCTAGCAGTTACACTTCATTGTATTGCTATTGTTCTCTGGTGAATAACCAGCGTAGTCCTAGCATTCTTGACCAGCATAAAGCCAAGAATTTTATACTCGGGCAGCTTGCAGTTCAGATTGGTTGGTTAGAAAGGCCAACGACACCCGCACCATTAGCCTCCAGCTAAGTTATAGAACTCCAAACTTTGAAACCTTACTGAACAGCCAGTTCGAAATTATAAATAATTAACTGGTTTGCTGAAAGAAAACTGGTCTTTGATGAAATGTTTCATAAGTAGAATTAAAATACTTACTCATACACATGATTACACTACTTCCTTAATTTTAAAACAGATCAGAAACAGAAACAGAAACTAGCATCAATAGTACGTGATTAAACGTAATGGAATATACAACAACAAACAATTACATTAGTAACCGCTCACTACGATTTAAAAAATCAAAAACATAACATACTTACAAATACTTAAAAAGACTTAAGAATACTTATCAGATACTTTGAAATACTTAATTGATACTAGATCTATAGTTTTGAGTGGGATGCCCCTAGGCTCAAGCTGTTCATCAATAATTTACATTCATTCATGTTATTCGATCAAATCTACATCGCTGTCCTCCAGTGGATCGAGATCCCGAGCGAGATCCACATCAAAGTGGTCTACAACGGTATTATTGTTCTTCTTCCTGTTTTTTTTCTGGAACTAAGTATTTGACGAAATTTTACAAAAGAATCTTTTTGCTTGACATATGGCATCAGTTTGCGTAAATCGTCCAATTTAGCACTTGGCAATTCAAGTGGTTGATCCGCAATTGGGTTCTTTAATTTTGAAAAATATATCTGTTTTTATATATCATCTGAAAGAGCTACGTTTTCTGAGCACAACGATCTCTATTTTAGTTTTTCTATTCCACGTGCAGTGTTGGGAAAATATCAAAAAATCAAAGCTCACCAACGCCCAAGATCACGCTTGATTTTCGTAGACAAAAATCAACAAGCAAACTACTGCGGTTGATTTTGCAAGCTGTGATATCGCAGCTCGGAATATCAAGCTAACAAAACTCACCAGCTGCGAATCTCGAATACAACCGAAACTTCCAAAACGGCTTGCAGCAGTCCCTTCGTGTCTGCCATCGGTGAAGATTAAAAAGAGATAGCAAATTATGCTTTCTCTTTCTAAAAAAAAAAACGATGTGCAAAGGAATCATTTTTGTGTCGAGTCAACTCTCAGCTTGATTTTTGCACGTTGTGAATAGTCTCGCAATATCAGAGGAGCTTGAAAAATCAATATCAAGCATGATATTTTGTTCCATTATCACGCGTGATATTGCGAGCGCATGAGAACGGAAAAATATCAATTGATTTCTGATTTTGCCAACACTGTCCACGTGAAACACGAGATGAAACAAAGGTCCTCATAGTTTTCGTCATTTTTTTTGGTTGAATGACAGATTGGACTGTAAACATGTTTAAGGTCCAATCAGAGAGCTGTGCGATATTATAAAAACTTTCAAATTGGACGTATTTTTCACATGTTTTTATAATTTTCTGAATATTGATAGTTAAAATTTCTAGAAAAAAAACTTAGACTTGGTGAGCTCTGCAGTACAGAGAAGCATTAAACTCGATTTGTTTACAAATGTCAGATAGGACCTTTTGAAATGTTTATCTAGATTTCAGAGTTATCCACCTGTAGAATCGGTGTATAATGAGTCACGCCAAGAGAAAAACAGTTTAACTCGCATCACGTTTTTCGAAAGATTCCCTTTCTTTTCACTTGGCAACAGAGGACTTCTACATCAACTTCAAATGACTTCTAGCCATAAATATAAATAGCGACTGTAGTAAATCATTATATCAGTGATTTTGTCAAATTATCTTAACAAAAATAGTAGAAATTCTCATTACTGGTCATTACTAAACGTATCCCATGACAAGTTAATGTTCACTGCGTATTTATGATCATTTCTTCGATCACGTGTCTCTCTCTCTCACACCTGTGAGATGACTCTCCATCATTGGCATAGCTAGACAATTTATCTGGAGGGGGCCTAGATAATTCTGGAAGGAGCCTGGACCACCATTAGCTACGCCAATGCTCTCCATTTGAATTGCACGGAAAGTCGCCTCACACGTGGTGACTGAGAGTCACGTGACTCGCAGAATAAGGGACGATGTATAAAAGCCGATGTTTTTAGAAATTGAACTACCCACTTTTCAGTTTCCCAAATTAAAACCATACAAATTATGTTTATACATCATATAACATTTTTATTTTAGAAGTAAATTTAAAAATACAAAATACCACTTCTAAAAGCATTTACTTTTTCTTCATTTTCTTATCTCGGAAGCGATCCAGCACGCTCTTCGATTCCAGTGGAATAAAATCGACAGCTGTTGGAACCACGGCTTCCTGTTTGAGTGACTCCTTGGCTTCCTTGATGCTCTGGATTGCTTCGTTGCGTAACACTTCCTTTACCTTCTGTTTATTTTTGAATCGTTTTGCCTTTGACATCCGCTGCTTCGTTCTGGGTTCGAAATCGATCGTCGGTACTTTCACTGTCAGCAGCTTGGATTTCGATTCCAGTCGATCTTTCAAAGAAGGCACATCGACTTCGCCAATTTGGGTAGGGTTGAGCGCAATGAATTCGGACGGGATCTTCTCCAGCAAACTGTGCACTTCTTCTTCACGACGTTGTGATAGCGTTTGGAAGGGATTGGCCTCCATTGTATCGAAGTTGGGTTCACCCGCGCCAGGTACGATGATTGACGTGAAACCGGTTGCAGTAGCAATTCCAAGAATGTCTTCATAGGGGCAGAATCGGAAATTGGAAATTGTAGATGGTGCCTTCTGTCGTAAATACGGCCGAAGATCTCGTTGCATAACACTTGGCTTCTTATAAATTTCACAAATATTTCCCATCGAGATGGCCATCAGTCCCTTCTGTGAAAGATCGATTCCAGAGGCAGCTGTTTGCATTTTGTAGGTAATAAGTGGTCCTTCCAGTTGACGTATGTCCCATATTTTGATGGTCCTATCCAGGCCGGCGGTTGCCAGTTGAATTCCAGTAGGGTCGACAGCAAGTGCCGTCAATGGCATCGAATGGCAGAGCATTTTGGCCAAAGGTTCGCGTACTGAGGGAGACCACATGGACACAACTCCTTTTGAATTGCCCACGCATGTTACTGCATTCCATGGATTTTGACACATCATACTTATCTTGCCTAACCTTGTATTGTAAGTCGTGACAGTTTGGCCAATCGAGACGTCCATCCAGGAAAGGTATCCCTCTTCATTAGCCGAATTTAGCAAAAAATGATACGGTAAGTATTCCAATCTCGAAACTCGATTCATTCCTTTGATGCAATGAATTTCGGTGCCTTTGCTATCGTACACATGAACCCAGTTTTTCTGAGCAACGGCGAACATAGTTTGATTCATTAGCCAAGCCACGTCGTGAACCGATTCCATTACATTCATTTCGCACAACAACGATTTCTTAACCCAATTGAACGCTGCTACGTGACCCTTTTTACCTCCCAGCAACAAATAGCTGCCGTTTTTCGTATATTTCATTCGGTATGGCCCGAACTCCAACTGCAGATTGAAGTATTTGGCAGCGGTTGTAATATCTACGTTGTTGACGATTTCTGCTTGGCTAACTTCTGTGGTTAGCTCATCGTCATCAACTTCCAGGTAGCCTTCATCTTCATTAAGCAAAATTTCCGCTCGCGCTGCTTGCTCTGTGGCAAAATCAATGTTGAGCTCATGTCGCTTTTGCCGAATTTTCTGAAACTTTGTTTTCACACCCTTAACATCAAGCCCTTCTCCGCGGGAATGCCGTTTCAGTGCTTCTGGATCCACCGGAATTTCCAGCAATTTCTTACGCTGACCCTTATTCTTACCACCATATCGATGCACCTGTTTGTCATTCACTGTGATAACTTTCATTCCATCTAAATCCGATTTGAATTCACGTTTGTTTTTATGTTTCTCCTTTTTCCCCGACGGCGCATCGACGGACCCCTTGGTGCCATTGCTGGATTTGCTCTTATTTCTGGTTGCCTCTTTTGCGGCAACATCGAAGTACCGTTTCGGTGTTTTCGGCGTTTTTGCCTGAAATTTAAGAAAGATTACAGTTTCAGTAGAGGTAGAAGGCTTTCTGCTTACCATTATAACGTTTGTAATCAATCAAATCGCAAGTTTTTCACTAGTTTTACATGAAAATTATTCACTGCTTATGGCCGTGCGTGTTTCGTATTTTACCATGCTGTTTTGTTTTGAATCGATTTGACGTTTCCACCGGTTGAATTGAAATCCTGAGTGTAGCTCTGCTGTTCTGTGCCGACGCCGTCGAGCGTTGAACTGTCAGAAGGTTTGTACTAAAATAGCTGCGCTTTCGTTGGCGGACGGACGAAGACGGTCCGCGTTGTAAACAAAGTTGGTTTTTACGGACGGAGTGTTGTTTTTGGCGTGGAAAATTTTCATTAAATTTAGTGTTAATCTGTGCAGTTATCAGTTCTCAATCGATCCATCATGCAGAGGAATCTAACGCAATCGAAAGAAGCTCTGCTCAAATCGTACAACACTCGATTGAAGGAGGATGTGCGAAGTATGCTCGAGAACTTTGAAGGTAGGTGGAAAATAAGCCACCATATTTAAGTACATTTCGACATAGGATTCCAGATTCATTATAAACAATAATTGTTAAGATAGGTTTATAGTCCATGCTTTACTTGAGGGGATTGCATCAGTAGAATAACGGTTATCCCTCTTGTGTTCCTTAAAGATTGTACCTAACGTGAAATAATCTGCACCGTTAGGAGGTAGGGATAGGTTTTATTGGCAGATGACCACTATTTTTTTGTCTATATTGCGTATCTGTAGGTATTTGGAGTTGATGGTAATTTGGCGTCTTTTATTGAACATAAATTATAATGTATAAAGTTTAAAAAACTGGCCAGACTGCGTATTTATAACATGTTATAAGCATATTTTGATGACATTTTTCTCATCGATAATTATTATAATGAGCTAATTTATCTTGTCAATCTAGTTTCTTCCGAGATTTACATTATACAATCTTTGCAAAACCAGGATTCAGAAGTTTAATGAGATTAATTGTTTCCTTCTTTCAAAAGAAGCATTTATTCTTATAAAATTATGTCATAGAAATTAAAAATCTTTAGCAAGTTTTTCCTTCTTTGAAATAAATGCAGTTCTTCCTAAATTTACTATTCTTGTAATTACTTTTGAGACTGTTTTTGTAATTACTTTTTCTACCGGTATTTGAAAGTTTTAAATAACGTTCATTCTCTTAGAAGCTGCTCATTAATTTATTAAACTTTTGATTAGAAATTTGTTTCAAAGCCGCTTAATTGAAATCCGGAGAATTTTTTTTATCGGTAATATGACCTTCGACGAAATGATCCAGCCCCATTATAACATGTTATAACTCTGTAGTCTGAACAAGGCATTACGTTATTGAAGATTGCTTGGTCTGTTTTAGGTCTATTGTCTTGCTGCGATCCGCGAACGCTCCTCCTCAACTTAACAAGTTAATGCAGATTTCGCATCGATTAAATTTTTTCGCTAAAAATAAGTACACAGTAATAAAACAGCAAAAAAGGTTATCTTCCATTTAATTCCACTTAATTAATTTTGGTATCCATGACAGATACGTATTTCGACTACAATGTGCAGTCTTCATCAGTGTCATTCCCACTAAAGAACTTATCAAAATCTAACCCCCTTAAGTACTCATCCCCTAGGTAAAAAAGTCAAGATCATAGGTATAAAAATGAAACTACAATGTGTTGAATCGGAACCTACCTAACTAATAAAAACCAAAGATTTAAGTAAGCTAAAGGAGAAAAATCTATACAACTCTCTAATAAGGAAAATCCCCAAAGGCTTGGTAGCCATCATAATGAAGTAATGAAATTGGGTTGTTAGTGGGAATGACACTGATGAAGACTGCACATTGTAGTCGAAATACGTATCTGTCATGGATACCAAAATTAATTAAGTGGAATTAAATGGAAGATAACCTTTTTTGCTGTTTTATTTAGCATTCCGCTAACAACCCAATTTCATTACTTCATTATGATGGCTACCAAGCCTTTGGGGATTTTCCTTATTAGAGAGTTGTATAGATTTAGTCGAAATACGTATACGTTAGTGGATACCAAAATTAATTAAGTGGAATTAAATGGAAGATAACCTTTTTTGCTGTTTTATTTAGCATTCCGCTAACAACCCAATTTCATTACTTCATACACAGTAATAGTTTTCCACTGGTCATAAAATTGAAATTTTGAGCTTCTTAAAGTTTTCTAAAGCTCAAATTCATTAGTTGATTGCCAGTCCCAAATAAGTCGATTTCTGACCTGTACGAAAATATTACTGTGTCATTATTTTTTGCACAGGAGGCTAATTTAAAAGTTGTGCAAAATGTGCAATAACGAACTTGAGCTTCATCAAGAATTGTTGGACATTTGGTCTTCTCTGCATTCGATCTAATCGGCGTCCGAGAAACCGATCAGACCTTCCTGTTAGCTAGTATCCCTGCTATATGCGGTCTTGCCTTAACCCACACATTTGCTTCTGGGATTTGTTTATTTGGTTCTACATCAACAGACTGGGTTTAGTCCTAATGATGGATTAAGCAATACTAGGAAATACAATATAGTCAAGAAGTAACAAGCTGCAAAGGCCGTGAAGTTCAACTTAATTCCTAATTCTTAAAAATATATCACGGAATCTCTGACGCAGCTACTCGCGTGCCAGGTGAAAATCAAATAAGGAAGCAACACGATTGAAAACCCTTTGTAGCCCATCGATAGCACCATACGAACTATAGTTTGTACCGAGGTTTGTACAACGAAAAGGTATCCTCAGCATTGCGTTGTTGCGGACTGCTCGTGGTTGAACGTTAACGTCGATTTGTTGTAGAATAGAAGGACTATCGATTCTGCCCTGTAGAATGTCTGCCACAAACAGGGCCCTTGTCGTATCTCTTCGACTCCACAAAGGATCCAGGTAAATTAACTGGCACCGACTTTCGTAGCTTGGAAGGCGATGAGGATCTCTCCAAGGCAATCGTCGAAGGGCAAACCAGATGAATCGTCGTTGAATAGACTCTACTCTTTGTACATTATTTTGGTAGTTGGGATTCCATACAGGGCAGCAGTATTCTAACACCGACCGGACGAGGGAACAGTAAAGCAACAGCATACAGTAGATGTCCGTGAAACTTTTAGCTATCCTGAAAATGAAGCCGAGCGTTCTGGATGCCTTGTCGATCACGTACGAGATATGCTGGCTGTATGTGAGTTGACAATTTAAGATGACTCCCAGATCCTTAATGTGATTACTGAACATTTTGTTGGATTTACAACCATGCGGTTCAGTTGGCACCAATTAGCAAAAGCGTTGGGTTGAAGTTGGAGAAGGTGGCAGTCAGCGATGGCTCGGATTCGGAGATAGATTTTCATGTCGTATGCGAAAGACAGTCGTGGACCGTCGAGTACGAAATTGACGTCGTTGAAATACACAAATATCAACGGGCCGAGGTGGCTACCTTGCGGAATACCCGAAGTGGCAGGGAACGAAGGAGATCGGCAGTCGTCGATTGCAACTGACGATCAGATAGATAGGATGCGAACCATCGTAGGAGCCGTTTATACCGAACCTATCCAGCTTGGCGATCGCTATAGGATGGTTCAACTTGTCGAAGGCGGCTGTTAGGTCAGTGTAGATGACATCTGTTTGCATATGGTCTGTCAGTTGTCGATGTTTCTTTTGCATCCCTTCTTATGCCCTGGAAACATCTCAGCTGATTTCCAGCAGGAAGGAAACACCCCACTGGAGAGGGACATTTCGAACAGAAGGCAGAGAGGAGCCACCAGGCTATCGATGTGTTGCTTGAGAAAGACGGAAGGAACTCCGTCAGGTCCAGGCTTAAATGAAGACTTCAGTTGCAGTCCGCATCGTGCTCTCTTGCCGTGCGGATCTATTTGCTTTTTGCTTAAGGAAGTGTTACTACTACCTAAAGCTACAACAAATTTAAACAGCACTTTTCAGTGCTCAACCTGTAAAAATTTTCTACCTTGTTCAACTCCTCTTATTCCTCTTCGATCCTTGTTTGGACCCTACCCGAGGTAATCCTTCTTGGATATCGATTTGGAAAATTCCTCTTCGATCCTTCAGATTCTTATAGTAATCTGCTTGGAAGTCGATTTGGATAATCGCATAATCGCACTTTTCAGTGCTCAACCTGTAAAAAATTTTCTACCTTGTTCAACTCCTCTTATTCCTCTTCGATCCTTGTTTGGACCCTACCCGAGGTAATCCTTCTTGGATATCGATTTGGAAAATTCCTCTTCGATCCTTCAGATTCTTATAGTAATCTGCTTGGAAGTCGATTTGGATAAAAATTTACTGCCGCCATGGCGCCTAAACGCAAAAGAAAGGGGCAAACTCTTGACCCCCCTTCTGATGAAATTAATTTGAGTAATCAATTTGATTTGCTCACGGATGATGAGAATGATCCATCATCCAAGAAAAATTCTAGTAAACTTTCCCGGCTTAATGCCAAGAAAGAAAAGATTCCCCCTATTGTGATAACCACTACCGATTTCCATGCTCTTCGCATGGAACTTTTGAATTTCGTGAAAGTTAAGTTTTCACTACAAATTGGACGTCGGGGTGAATGCCGTGTATTGGCTGAAACCTTGGACGGATTTAAATGTCTTCTCAAGTATCTTACTGAGAAGAAGCACAAATTTTTTACTTACGACACCAAAACTGAACGTGTGTTCAAGGTTGTCATGAAAGGACTGCCCAGTGGTGAATCCCTGGATCAGATCAAAGATGAACTGGCAAAATTACTTGGAGTTGTGCCACTCCAAGTAATCAAAATGAAAATGAAATCCCGTCCTGGCGATTCGCGCAACGGGATTTCTAATGATTTTTATTTAGTTCACTTCAAGTCTAGTGAACTAAACAACCTTAAGGCCTTAGAAAAAGCTAGCCTTATGCTCCATGTCCGAGTGAAGTGGGAACACTTCAGGAAGACTGGAGGAAATTTCCAAAACCTCACCCAGTGCCGTAAGTGCCAGGGATGGGGTCACGGAACTAAAAATTGCTACATGCCAGCTAAATGCATGAATTGTGGTGATTCCTCTCACGCAAAGGACGACTGTCCTGTGAAGGAAGATCCTAAGAAATTTAAATGTTCAAATTGTGGTGAAA